CTCCGTTCCATTAATCAGCAAATGTAAAAAATATTTCCTTCACACTTTATTTTTGGTTTCTTAAAGCAAAAGATCAAAAACATTTTCTTAAAACAAAACAAGTTTATTTCACATATTCCTTGTACATTCTTATGCATTTCAATATGGTTGTAATAGTAATTTAGGACTTATTTTTACTTGCAATCCCAATTCGTACATATGTACCCCCACCCCCTAAAATATTGTAATAGCGTAGAATTTTATTTTTCGCAATTTACTGTTTTCCTTATACTGTATAGTAATTAGGCGTGTATGGCAAGATAAAAACAAAGCAAATAGAAAACCCTAAATACAAGACAAAATCAAAGCATGAAAATGATACACTTTCACACAAGCACCCTTAGGGTTTCTCCACTTGGTTGCCTAAAACAAAATAGCCATGTTATGCACGCGAAGTATCTTGGCAAAACAAAACAAATATAAGATCATAGTCCCTCGATGACGCTATTCAAAAGTTGCCTTACAAAATGATCTTGGTCCCTAAAAATGCTAAGATACTTTGCAACATTGTTAATCATGGTTATACGATGACCCACGCCCGTCCCGTTTACATCCAAAGATAGGGTTGCTTACCAAATCAATGGTAAGACAACAATGTCAAAGGAATAGAAAATGCATAAGAAAGACATTTGAGTAGGTAGATAGCTTCTAGTTACTTGCTCCATTTCAAACAACAATCCTTGCTATTTTCAAAAACAAACACACACATATTTCAAAACATCTTACAAACATTGAAAACATTTTCAAAAGACAAACATCTTTGTATGCATTCTTACGAACGAGAATCATTACAAAGATTGTCTAAACGAATGGCCTCTTTTACAAAATACTTTCAAAACCACACCAAACACAATTTCAAACAAACAAAGCAAGTGATCTAAGCAAGTAACTAAGATCCCATGGAAAACCATGGATGAAAAGGGTGCTAATACCTTCCCTTTTCATAATCTACCCCCCGAACTCAAGAAAACAATCTCAAAGGTCTTTCCTGTGCTTTTTCACCTTTTTTTTGGATAAAAGAAAAGTCGGTGGCGACTCTTGCTAACCGCAACATTTGCAATCAAACGCAAAACCTCAAGTCAGTTCTCTCACCGTATCACAAGGTGAAAGTGTGCAAGTGTTTGTATTTCATGCTCGATTTGTCTTGGATTAGAGTGATCTAAGATTGATTTTTTTATCTTGCCATGCACACCCTAATTTACTAGCATTTATATGAAAGCGGTAAATTGCGGAAAATAAATATCCTACGCTATTACAATCACTTGGGGATAGGGTATACAAATTTACAAATGGGAATTGCAAGAAATTAAATCCTAGTTATCTATTACAACTATATTGAATTTGAATAAATATACAAGGTAAAAATGGAGAAAAGGAAAGGACTTGTTTTGTTTTATTTTGAAAAGATTTTTATCCTAGTAAACTAAAAAAGAAATAATTAGTTAACAAAAGAAAATTAAACTAATTTAATTTTAAAAGAGAAATGTTTTTATGTATTTTTATATTAATTAAAAAAAGATATTAATGATAACAATAAAAAATAATATAATAAAGAAAATGAGCCAAGAGGGGAGAAAAGTTGAATTTGGGGTGTTTTTGTGTAGAAAACAGTTTTTTTTTTGTTCAAAAATAGTTTTTGTATTTGGCCCCAAGGGGGTCTGTTTGCTAGTTAATAAACAGGGGGGTCAGAGTATGAAAATCGAAGCCCAAACTGAAGGAGATCCAAACATGTTTCTTGCAAACGAAACAAAGTGAGAAAATATGAAAAAGGGTCTGGCTGGGAGTTTCGAACCCATGACCCTTCGATAGGATAAGCCGTGGTGCGTGCTGTTTGTACCACTGGGGGTAGCCTACTTCATCCATTCATGTGATCACTTCGATGGAATATAAAATGAGTTCGTTCCTGGATGTCGAAATACCCAGCTTCAAAGGCCATGGTGCTTTGATGGTCAGGCTCCTAACAACTCCTTTTCTCAATCGAAACAAACAGTGAAGACATCAAAACGAAACTAACACTTAAACACAAATCGAAACACAAAACATAAACATTAAATTTGTCTAAGAACTTGGATGTGAATGGAAGCATACATATTTCGAAAGCTAGGGAATCGAAGGTCAGCATGGATTTTGTTCAGTATCAAAAACGAAAACTAACTATACAGGAAATGATAATCGAAAACTATGAGCAACATGATATCTACATTTCGAAGGATGCTTGAATGAAGAGTTCTAAGTTTGAAGAAAACTTACATCTTGGGGTGAAACTTTGAAGGGACTTTGATGCAACTTCCAAGAATGGTTAGATGATGAGTGAATTAAACCTACTTCATTTGGAAGATAGTTAAGGCCTCCAACTCAAATCAAGTTTTAAGTTTCCGTTTCTTTGAAAAAAAATGAAAGGGCAAGCAAGTTTGAAGAGTGTTTGATGATTTTGTGTTTAAGAGTGTTTGATGATTTTGTGTTTGAGAGTGGAGTTAGAATTTTAGTTTCCTGTTTTTGACTCTATATTTTTTTGCAAACTTCCCTCCTCTTTTTTCTTTTGATATGCAATGGACTTGCATATTTATATGAAAATGTTGAGATGTTTTACACAAAGGATCTTTTTGATGTACTATTTTGGCTAGGTGACTTGATAAGTGAAAAACAAGTACAAGCATGGTCCTGTTGCTTCTGATTTTGACTTTGCTTGTGCTCAGACAAAATAAATTTTGGAGGCTCAAGGAGCTGACTTTGTGATTAAAGTAACCTTTATGAAAATAGATAACATAGCTTTTCGTCAATTCGTCCAAAAATAGTAATATCCTAATGGATAAAGCTCTGTGTGTAAACCTCTGATTATGTAAAGATTTGGAAGCAACGTAGCCTGAAAAGTGAGATTTGGAAGATGAAGCTATGAGATTTGTTCTTGAATCAGATGCCAGAATGAAATCGAAGCAAGCTTGCTTCGAAGGAAACTTTTTCCTTAGTCGAAGCATGTTCGAAGGAAGCTGCTTGAAGGGAGGCATTGCCCATGTCGAAGCTTGGATCGAAGCAAGCACACTGCCCCATCGAAGCTTATGGATTGAAGAGTGTTCGGAGGGAGTCTTTTAACCATTCGAAGCATGTAGGTCGAAGGAAGCCAGTGTCTAATCGAATTAAGAATCGAAGCAGATTGCTTCGAAGGTAGCTAGTGTCTAATCAAATTGAGAATCGAAGCAGATTGCTTTGAAGGTAGCTAGTGTCTAATCAAATTGAGAATCGAAGCATATTGCTTCGAAGGTAGCTAGTGCCCCGATCGAAGTTGGAGAATCGAAGCAGACTTGCTCTTCTTCGACCCAATCGAAGGGCACATTATCATCTTCATTTTCCTTTTCCTTTGACCAATCGAAGTAACAACTTGTCATCTTCAAAAAATTTCATTTTTCTTTATTTATTTAAACAGGTGTTTGTAACCACCTATATGAGAGGAATCTTGAAAAATGAGAGGGCAAATTTTAAGGTACAACAGATAGTCAATTTAAAACTCCATTCTAGTTTGAGATAAGTCTGTAAAAAAAAGTATTTTTGGCTTAGAGACTAACTGCTCGAAGCTCTAATTGGTTTTTCGCATGAAAACTAACTTCTTCATTCCCTTGTTCGCTGTTTTGTTGGAAGTTAACCTGAAACTTCATTTTACTTGTATAAAGGGGTTCGTGAGCTTACCTTCTAAAAGCTATCAAACATTATTGAATACTCTCAAGATCAATTTTTAAGGATATGAGTATCTCACTTCATTTAGACCAAACATTTATAAATCTTTGATATTATCGCTCTTCCCTTACTTTTTTCTTTCTGCATATTTTCTTACCCTGTTTTTCTGTTGCATATTCAAAATTTTTTTAAAAAATATTTATGAACTCGAATTTAAAAAATAATTTTATCTTAAATAATTTTTTTCAAACTCCCATAATTCACCCTACAAGAAAATAATTCACACTACCAAAAAAATGTAGGATTAGCTACCATTATTTTACTACAAATTAAATTTATAGCTAATTCCAATTAAAAATACATCTATTTAATTAAATTACACATATTACCACCCATTCACTTAAACACTCACCTATACTATTACTTGTCTATTTTTATTTAACAAGTACTTATCATTTCCTTCTTAGTATTCTTCTTCTTATTCTTATTTTATTATTGTTATTATTATTAATAATTAAGTTACATCACTTTTTTTTTTCAAATAACGAAGGTTATATATATATATATATATATATATATATATATATATATATATATATATATATATATATATATATATATATATATATATATATATATATATATATATATATATATATATATATATATATATATATATATATATATATATATATATATATATATATATATATATTTATTAATATAATAATATATTTTTATCTACTGTTTACAACGGTCTCATACACCGTATCTCACCACATTCACGTCGTTCTCCGTCTCCGATCAACCCGTCCACCGCTGTACGTTGCCCTTGTTGTCTATCTCTTATCAATCCTAATCCCAATTCCGTAAGTCTCTCTTTCGTCGTCTTGCGTATTAGGTGTTCGATATTTGCATCTTCAAGTTGTTCCACCTTTTCATCTTCAAGATCAGACTCTTCTACCAATCAATTGTCCAAGGTAGCTTTGTAGTGTCTCATACTTTCAAGATAGTATACATTCGTTCATGGACAAAGGAAAGAAAAGGAGAACAACTACTTGTTTTTCATAACATTATTCGCACATGTTTGCATACAAGACCTCAAGCAAATGACCCTAAAGGTTTATGCTTATTAAATACATCCAATATAATTCACTATCCTTAACTATTTTCCTATATGATCTTCATATCCTAACCAAACTCTTTTTTATAATACAATAATACAACAATCAATACCAAAGAAAAGCAATTAAGAAAACCAACTATTCAAATGCAAGAATATGCATAACCTCCTAGTCTGTGGAGTGTGTTTGGCTGCTGATAATTGATAATGAATTTGATGCAGAAAACCCATCCCAAGGTTGGTACTGTTCGATTCCAGAAAACTCAATTTCCTCGTTATTTTGTTGTGCATTAAGCTTCTTATTGAATCCCCTAATCCCTTCCAATTCTAATGTGACTTCTTTCATGGTTGGTCGTTTTCTTCCATTTATTTCTAAGCATCTATATGCAAGATTTGCAACTGAAATGATATGTTCTTTCTCTCCTCCTTCTATGACCCTTTTGTCAATAATGTCAAACAATATATTCTCCTCTATACACTGAACAAAATAGGAAGCTAAATTTTTTGAATCCTCAGATCTTGTTATAGAAGATATTGGCTTCTTACCAGTTAAAAGTTCAGCAAGGACTACTCCAAAGCTGTAAACATCACTTTTCTCTGTGAATTGACTAGTGTAAAAATATTCAGGGTCTAAGTATCCAAAAGTACCTTGGACCATTGTGGTAAGATGAGTAGCTTCAATTGAAATTATTCTTGATGCTCCAAAATCTGCTAATTTTGCCCTATACTTTTCATCCAATAGTATATTTGTTGATTTGACGTCTCTATGATAAATTGGCTGAGATGCAACTGAGTGCAAATAAAATATAGCACCAGCAACTTCACAGGCAATTCTCAAACGCATGTCCCATGTCATTGGTATGTCCTCATTTTGGTCATGCAGATACTCAAAAAGGTTACCATTGGGAATGAATTCATAAACAAGCAAAGGAATTTCTGTCTCCAAACAACATCCCAATAGTCTGACAACATTTCTATTGTTGATTTGTGAAAGAATCACAAACTCATTGATGAACTCTTCAACCTTTCCTTCAACCTTAAACTTTTTCACAGCAACAATTTTACCATCCACCAGCATGCCTTTGTAAACTGTACCTTGGCCTCCCTTTCCAAGAATTCTATCCTTATTGAAATTATCAGTGGCTTTCTTTAAATCCTTCAAGGTGAAGAGAATAGTTCTATCAACATTTACTTCTCCTGCAGACATCCTTTTTTGTAACAGCAGACCACCGTTTCTTTTGAAGAATTTTTCTCTGCGTTTCTTAATCATTCTTCGTTTCATAGCTTTGTACAAAAACCATAAACCAATGAGAAAACCGATGGATCCGAGACTTGATGAAATTCCTGCATGTTTGTCATAATAAATTATGTGAGCGTAATTGAAAGTTGTCTTTTGTTAAAGTCATCTTTTTAAAATCAAATATAGTATGTTTTACCAGACATTAAGTAAATTCACACTCATTTTTATCTCAAAGCAAATGCACGATGAAAGAAAAATAAGCATTTTAATTCTAAGATATAAGAACTGTTGGTGCAAGGTAATGAAAGGAGAGATGAAGAATGAATAATGAATGATAACAAAGAGGACTACTTTATAATATTCAAATAGAGGAATGAATTGGGTTACAATATTGATAGCCTAGGTAGCATATTTATACTAATAATGGAAAATGCCAAAATACCCTATTAAAGAATAAGCATTGGGAATTGTAGACATTAACTAAATTATATTTCCAATAAAAACAAGGAGATATATAATATAAACATATTAACAAATTAAATAAAAACATAATCTTAAATAGAATATTATGATCAAGAGTAAGGTTCATATAACCAACTCTATTTATTGGGATAAGAAATTCATCAACTATTTATGTATAAGTAACAAGTAGATGTAAATTCACCAAGCTCTAGCTTAGAATCACGCAATTTAGACGAAATGAATCAAAGTTATTAGTATTCACTTATGAAGTTTGTACATACCTACAATAACCCACTTCTTCCATCGATTATTCCTATAAAAGTGTTGCTTTGGAACTGCGGAAGCAACGAACCAAGTTAGCTTATAACTCAAAACTAGTATATATTTCTTCTTGAAGTGGAATTGAATTAGAAAAGGGCATGGAAGCCGTAGAATTTATACCAAGACAATTTGTTATTTATTTCTTAGAAAACCAAGTGTTGCTACTTTGTTTCTAATTAGAGCAATATAACATGATATGCTATTGTAATATAAAAAGGTAGATATTGAAAAACCTGTGCAGCCTCCAAGGTATGGATTTCCATAGATTCCTCTAGTAAGGTAGAGATAGTCAGGGTAAGCCTCGGACGAGCATTGACATTGCCGACCGGTGGTTCTGTTACTTAAAGAAGTAACCTTGGAGTTGTAACAATTTGGAGGTAGTTGAAATGTGGAATTAATTAACATATCATTCAAAATCTCCCACTCTAACATTGCAGGAGCATATTCCATATTCTTCAACTCATTCAATGTCTCATTATCATCCGTGTTCATATTATCCGAACTGTCAAAAAGTATCCTGTTATCATTTGTAATCAAAGCATAACCACAACCATCACTACTCTGTTCCCTTAAACCTCTTAGTGTTGCGTTAAACTCTGAAAGATGTGAAGGCAATGAGGTTGCACAACAATATCTTCCATTACAACCGTCACTATTAAAATTGAAATTGTTACGGTTGTTGTTGTCGTCGTCACAAATTGATACACAACCACCAACGGTTGTCCCATTAGACTGAAGAAAAGCAAGATTGTTACATCCCACAGCTAGAAATGTGTTTCTATCCTGTGAAAATATGTAAGGACTGTCTCTAAGATTAACGGTTTTTCTATTGTTGATGCTAATTTTGTTTTTTTGACAATTTGAACGGTAAATTGGGTTCATAATCTCAACCATGTTATAGTAAAATTCACCTACCTGAAGATTTAACGACTTCAAGTAAGGTTTAGGAACATCAGAAGAAGTATTGTTGTCAAATTTGCATTCTATTTCAAACCATTTGTGTGCATAGCAATGAGGTTCATTCATTCCGAATGGGAAAGGCACTGAAACTGTTCCACATGTTGAATTACAACCATATTGTGCTATGATTCCATCTTCTTGTGCCGAGGCCAGTGAAGGAGATATTATTAAAACAATGATATGAAATATTGTGAGGGGTTGAATCATTGTTTAGAGCTAAGATTTAATTGTGGATCTTAGAAGCAGCTTAACTTATTTATGCTGTCTTAGTGATGCTAATACAACTGTTTAAGAAATTTCTCAGTATTTTCTTCAATGACCAAAATAAACTGAAAATAATCTGAAATTAATTTTTACTATATAATAATAAACTAAAATTAATTAATTTATATAGTATATATTTAAGTAAATAAACTGAAATTAATCTTTAACATATTATTTTAAACTGCAATTAATTTTTAACATATTATTTTAAACTGAAATTAATTTTTAAAAATATTATTTTTAACTATATATATAATACATTTTTGTGACATTAATATATGATATTAATTTATGATAACATATATTTAGTTAGCAATTTGTGTGAAGTACTGTTAATTACTATGACAGTTTACTACGCATACAATATATTGGCAATAATAATAAAAAAGATGTATTGGTCAAGTGGAAAAGCAGGTGTCTCACTGTACTTCATGACTTGGATTTGATTCTATAGTGGTGAAAAATGGAGATCAAGTTATTAATTAATTTGACTCGTTAAATAAGTAAGAGTCATCATCGCGCTTTATTATTTTCAAGGGAGAAAGAAAAAGAACGAAATAAAACCCATAAATAAGCATGCAATGCAAAGAAGTAAGAAAGCTAGAAACAATGTAATAAAGAGATTAAAGGGTACGAGGGTTGGTTATGCTTGTACTCTACAAGAACCTTTTGAAATATCTGTGTTTTTTGGTTTTATGTTTTTATAAAGAATTATTGTTTGCTAAAAGAGTATGGTTTAAGGAAATTTTGAAAACGCAACGACTTAATGTCGAGGTTTATATGAAAAAAGGTGTAAGTTTGAAAATCGGGGTTTAACTAAGGAGAAACAAATAAAATAGATAACCAAAAGACGTGACATGCAAAAGACGCACAATGACATAAAGCCAACAAGATAATCTTTTCCCTTGAATTCAAACACAAGGACAATAATCAGATGAAGACCGAACAAGAACTATGCATCAGATAAAAATGGATAATAACTATAGTTCAAGGATTAAAGAACCAATTTTAGGTTTTTCTTTATTAAGTGGCTTATAACAAGCAAAAGAAAATAAGAAGCTCAAGTGAGCAAAGAGAAGATAAATGCTCAAGTGAGTAAAGAAAAAACGCATAAAGTAAAAAAAATAAAATGCTATGGATGATAAATGACATAAAAGTAAAGAGCAGAAAATATAAAATGCGGAAATGTAAATGACATTAAAGTAAAGTTAGTACAATATAAAATTAATGTTAATGATTAATAATCCGATTTGGGACAACTGTAACTTCATATAGAGCATAGAGTGTATGTATCATACATGTTAGAGAAATGACACTTTGAAGTTCTTTCTCTTATACATGTAGTACAATTAACAAATACGGGGGATCAAGACAAAGTCAAAGAAGATATATTATGACAAACTTATCATCAATTCCAAGTATCTTGAATGATCAAAGAACCATTTAGAGATAGATTGGAAATGGTGAAAGTTCATCAAATATCCGACAAGCTTAGGTGAACTAAAAAGCTCAAATGCTTTCCAAATTTATCCAAATAAAAATAAAATAGATAAACAAGAATAAGATGAAGTCTATAGTAAAAATGTCATAAACAAATGAATAATTAAAATTTATCTACTCAATCTCACGATTAAGGATCCATGCTCAAAATAAATAAATAAACAACAAAAAATTACAGGAAAAAAAATGAAAATTAAACAACAATAAATTACTTTTGCTTTTGGAGGTTAAAGAACATTTTTCAACTCTTGATTTTGAATCGATTAAGTTTCCTTGCAAAATGATGATAATTATGGTACTAAATAAATAAAGGAAAAGTAAAATGCAACAAAATTAAATAAAGAACAAGTATAATAGCCTATCTATTCAATAAAATGAGGAAATGACTTGAAAGAAAATGAAGAAAAAAGAAGAAGAGAGTTTTGACTTAGTTTATTGAATGATTTGTGGTATTGTTAGTCCAAAATGAAAGAAAAGAGATGTCTTATTTATAGTGCAGATGAGGTGAGAGTGTTGATGTGGCAATCCATGTGACTTTATGAGAATGGTTCTTGGCCATTGATAAGTTCAACTTGACCATCCATGTGAAGTGTGAAAATGATTTTTGGCTATTGATAAATACAAGTTGGCAATCCATGTGAAGTGTTTGTACTACATTGTAGTGGTCCCAACTTTTCTTTATTGATAAAAAAATAAAAGGACAAAGTAATAATAATAATAATAATAATAATAATAATAATAATAATAATAATAATAATAATAATAATAACTAAAAATGTTAGTAATAATAATAAATACAAAATAGAAAATAAAAGAGACATTAAATTAACTATGTATAGGAAATGTGTTAGCACCAAAAACATCCGTAGTATTCTACCGGAACCTTTTGAAATATCTTTGCTTTTTTTGTTTTTTTTTATAAAGAATTATTGTTTGCTAAAAGAGTATGATTTAAGGAAATTTTGAAAATGAAACGACCTAATGTCGAGGTTTATATGAAAATTGGGGTTTAACTAAGGAGAAACAAATAAAATAGATAACCAAAAGACGTGACATGCAAATTACGCACAATGACATAAAGTCAACAAGATAATCATTTCCCTTGGATTCAAACAGAAGGAGAATAATCAGATGAAAACCGAACAAAAACCATGCATCAGATAAAATGGATAGTAAGCATAGTCCAAGGATTAAAGAACCAATTTTAGATTTTTCTTTATTAAGTGGCTTATAACAAACAAAAGAAAATAATAAGCTCAAGTGAGCAAAAAGAAGATAATTGCTCAAGTGAGCAAAAAAAAAGCACAAAATAAAGAAAATAAAATGTTATGGATGATAAATGGCATAAAAGTAAAGAGCGGAAAATATAAAGTGATGAAATGTAAATGACATTAAAATAAAGTTAATACGATATAAAGTTAGTGTTCATGATTAATAATCTGATTTGGGACAAGTGTAACTTCATATGGAGCATAAAATATATGTGTCCATACATGTTAGCACTACAACATTTGTTGTCTCTGGCAACACTTTTTTAGGTAACATGTAGAAATTGTTGCCTTAAATTCATATAGGCAACGATTTACGATTGTTGTCAAAAATATGTTTGCAACCCTTGATAATCGTCGCCTAAAATACTTTTGGGGACGTTTATGGAGCGATACTCTTTTATTTTTTTGCCAACGGTTGTTAATTGTGCCCTTAACTGCTTTTGGGGACGATTTTAGAGCGTTAAAATATTATTTCGTTAGCAATGTTTGACAATTGTCCCCTAAAATATTTTTGGGGACATTTTTAGATTGTTACATTAGTTCTAATAAAAGGCTACCTTTCTGAAATGTTGTATAAATTTTTTTAGAATTATCAAATTTTTGGTGGCAATCTTCCCTCCAAAACTTATACACTAAAAAACAAATATTTTTCTCTAAACATTATTAATATATATATAAAAAAAATATTTTTCTAACACAGGAATTTAAAAATAAAAAATTTCAATTAAACAGAAAATAAAAAATTATATATATATATATATATATATATATATATATATATATATATATATATATATATATATATATATATATATATATATATATATATATATATATATATATATATATATATATATATATATATATATATATATATATATTAAAAAAAAATTCATTAAACAGAAAATAAAATATTTCTAACACAGGAATTTAAAATATTTTTCATTACTAGTCCTCTCAATTATTGCCACGTCTTATTAAAAAGAATAGAAAATAAAAAAAAAGAAAAAGAAACTGTTCTGGACTGGGCCCGACAGGCCCAAAAGCATTACCAAGGCCCAGTCCAAAGGGACTCACTAAGGACCACACTGGGCAAAGGGGGTCGCGTCCATGCCCGACACCCTGATGTCCACCTCGACATCTCATTGTCCAGCCCCACGTAGTGAAGTCATGCTCGATACCCTGCCGTCCGACTCTGTGTCCTGACGTCCAGCTCGACACTCGCTGTTCAGCTCGAGGACTTGGCGTCGAGCTCGGCACCGTGCAGCGCAGCTTGACATGATCTCGAGCTACATGGCTAGGGCAGACTCAGTCCACCGTTACCCCAACGATACTCCGGAAAGACCGCGTCTCTGTCCGCCCGCACTTCACGCAGCACATCCAGGAAGGGGACCACGTGCTGGTCCCCACTACCCACGTAGAACCTGGCAGTTCCTCCATTGGGCCAAATCCGCCCGGCCCAATGAAGGAACCTTGGCCCAGCGCTGGGGGCTATAAATACCCTCTGTTTCCAGAGGGTCAGGTATTCATCATTCTAACCTCAACTCTATTATCTGCTCGTACTCCCACTGACTTTAGCATCGGAGTGCCTTGCAGGTACCCCCCCCCCCCCCTCCTCGTTCAAAAAGCCTTCAGCTCAGAGCAAGCCGTGACGGTCCAAACCTTCTGGTCAGGTCAGATCAGTGGCGCCGTCTGTGGGAAACAGCTTCCCCGTCTAACAAACAATTCCAAAGACAAAAGCTCAATCCATTCACTGTCATGGCTGATCCAGCTCGTGAAGAACAGCACACCCGCGTCCTCGACACCAACAACGGTCCCGCGGACAAGAATGGGCACCTGGACAATCCCAGTGATGCCGGCCACAATGCCGTCCCCGTGACAACCTCCCCTGGACCTTCCACCCGCAGGGACGGGAACACTGCGTCCTCCTCGACAACTCCTCCAAGACTAGAAGACGACCCGGAAGCCCTCGCCTACTGCAGAGCTGCCCGGTTCTATGAAGTCCAAGTTCCTGCCGGGGCAGATGCCACGACTCAGGCACTGTTCGCGGCCATCAACCAAACAAATTATCTCCTATTCGCCCAAGGAGAAAGACTAAGGGCACTTGAAAATGATCGACGCCCCCCGAGGAGACATCAAAGGCCACCATCTCCACCTCCTCGGGTCGAAGAA